TTCAGTGTTTTTTGTCTTGAGATTAGTAGTATCTTCTTTAAGTTTTGCATGTTCAGCCTTGTATTTGCTGTTTTTTTCATAATCTGTTTTAAAAACTCAGTATTCTTAGCCTCAAGCTCAGCCTTTTTAGTCTCGACCTCAGCATACTTCTTTCTAAGTTCAGTAATCTTGATTATAAGCCTGGAATTTATTTAATTCTCTTAATGAAATAATTGTAGCTTGTGTATCTGTCATCGTTTATATAAGGTGCGGATATCTTCAATTAATTATACGAAAAAAAATTAAAAAATTCGACCGACCACCAAAAAAGTTTCTAACATCACGTGACAAATATGTGAGCACCAAAAATTCATTTAACTTTGAAAAAAAAACAAATGAAAAAAATTTATAAACTAACAAAATGATAACGATAAGCAATTGTGTTTATTTCAAATAAATTCAATAAACCTAATATTTATTACAGCCAGAAAGTATTATGATTACGGTTTTTCTTAGCATTTGGAATATTCCATTGTCTTTTAAAATGATTATAATCCTCCTCCAATTTATGCAATGGCTCGAAGTTTTTATTAATACTATCGAGCCATTTGTTACTATTTGGATTCATTATATTTTCAATAATTTTATTGTTGCATTCTGGATTCAGAGTTATAAAAACTTTTTGCCCAAATAAATAATCAGAGTTATAGTCTTCCGGAAGAGCATCAAAAATAAAGTTACAAGGTTTTTCTGGTGCAATTACATTTTCTTGATTAGTTTTATAATTTTATTTCTTTTTTTTTCATTTATTATTAGTGGAAATTTGGTTACGGCAATCGATATATAGAATATCTTGTTTATTGAATTTTATGCCTTTAAAAGAATCACTTGGTTTGACGAGATTGCAACGATTGTTTTTCATTTTGAAAAATCAAAGAAAATAATTATCATGATCCTAATTGGCAATATCACATGATTTTCGAAACTTTTTTGGGTGGCGATTTTACCTTGGTTAAAAAATTCCAAACACGATTATATGTGAAATCGAGCCACCAGGGCTTGCTTTATTGATAAATATGAATTGTTTTTATTCAAACATTTTGACCCTTTTTTCTCTATGGTCGTTTCAGTGCTGATGGCCTGTATGAAATAGTTGATCTGATGTTTTTGATGAGTCTGATATAATTGACATTATTTCATCCGAATCATAATATTTGTGCACTGTGCATATTATTGAGGCTCTGAAGGTTAACAGTGTATGAATAATTGAATTAGACGACCCAGATTCTAAAAGTGAAATATGTAAAGGAATGGCTGATCGAAAAAATTTTTTTGACATATATTATATATCGGAATAAATTTTATTTGCAAGATATGAGATAATAAGACCAACATAATTAACGATATTAACGATTACTAGAAGTTTACATAATTATGTGAATTATAGTGTGTTTTATAAGTTGAGCATCTTTAGGTTGTTAGGCCTAATAGATATTCATCATTTAACAGGTTTTGAGAAATATAACGAATTATATAATAATTAATTATTAATTATTAGACCTTTTTTTTTGCGAAACAATATAATATTTTTGAAATCAAAAAACCAGCAAAACTAGCAGTTTCTATTAAAGACAATTGAAAAGTTTTCGATATCAAACGCAGTTGAGGGTGTGCCTGTATCATGCTTAGTAATTCGATTAATTCTGGTGACTGAAGTGCAAACACCTGAAACGCCTGGTTCATTCATTGACCTTTAACAAAATAAAAGGAAGGGTTAATGTTAAAGAATCTTAAAAACATGAAATCAGTCTTCATCATACCACGGTATATTCACGCGTATCTGATCAACCCATGCTCCAATGGCATTGCCATTTGGAAATGTAAATACGACATCATTATAGCTTGTTGCTCCATTTGTCGTAAGGTTTGTGATAATCGCAGCCTTATTTTGGCCGGTAATGCCATTTCGAAAACCTGGAACAGTGAGAACATCATTGAAACCTGCTTCATTCTATTCAAATACAAGAGCGGGCATATATTGATCTTTCTTTAGAGCTTTGAGGACCAAAGTAGCTATTTTACGATTTTGAAGTACGAGAGAGAGTCTATCAAACGCTAAACACGAGAATATTAATCAATATGTATGGACATGGAAATAATTTAACCGCTAATTTTTTACAAACCTGTGTCACTTTTTTTTGCA